CCTGTAATATGGTTATTTGAGATTTCAGTAGGGTCTTGGCTGCCTCAGTACCTAACATAGTAGGTACTCAGAAAAACATTTGTTAATTATTCACAGTAGCAAAAAGATGGAAACAACCTAAGGGCCCATCAACAGATGAACAGGTAACTAAACTACGGTACATACACACAGTGGAATAATACGCAATGATAATGATAAATCCATGAAACATCTCACAACATGGATGAATCTGGAGGGCATTATGCTAAGTGAAATAAATCAATGACAAAAGGATAAATATTGTATGAGACCACTATTATAAAAACCCAAGGAAAGGTTTACACACAGAAAAAAACAATCTTTGATGGTTATGAGGGAGGGGAGGGTGGGGAGAGGAAATCACTAATTAGATAGTAGAAAAGTGGTAACTTTGGTGAAGGGAAAGATGCTGTATGATGGATCACTTTTGCGTGGCCTTTCCAACCATGGTCCTGTAATTCTGCTGGACTGTGTGATAGGGTAACTGTGGCCCACCAAAGGGATTGGTCAGTTTTGCCATCCTGTTGGGCTTGAAATGAGCCACCCCAGAGGCAAGAAAGAGAGGGTCCATCCACCACCAAGGAATAACAGCCAGGAGCAGAGAGCGCGTCCTTCGGACCCAGGATCCCCATGCTGAGAAGCTCCTGGAACCAGGAGACGGAGAGTGAGCTATAACCCTGAAGATGGTGAGAAGTGGTGGCAGAAGAAGCAGTGGCAGGAGAGACTGTGCAGTGGGCTTCCTGGCCCACAAAGTGAGAAAGCTGAGTGCCTTTGGGCAAGGCAGAGGGCCAGGGAGAGGCATGCCTGCAAACACGGCTGGGAAGAGGCTGTCCTGATGGAAGAACTGTACCCCAAGCATTTCTGAACCTGAATTATAACCTATTACTTCCCTAATAAACCCAATAATGGTGAGTATTGTCTGTGAGTTCTGTGTGGCCATTGCAACGAATTATCAAACCCAGCAGAGAAATAGAGTGCCGCGGGAGGGACGGTCGGTGCAGAATTGGTAAAGATGGCAGGGAGAGGAGCCATGTCTGATCTCTGCCTCATAGGAATCAGTCTTGGGCTGTTGACCTTGATTCACCTTCCCCCTTGTGAAGTTAGAAGAGATCAGACACTGCCCACACACCGTTGTTACAAAAGAGAACACACAATATAGGGGAAGTCAGCACAACTTGACCAAGGCAAAATCATAGAAGCTTCCTAGACGCATCCAAACACCTTAAGGGACCAAGTTACTGGGGCTGAGGGCTGGGGACCATCGTCTCAGGGGACATCTAGGTCAACTGGCATAACAATGTTTATAAAGAAAATGTTCTACATCCTACTTTGGTGAGTAGTGTCTGGGGTCTTAAAAGCTTGTGAGCGACCATCTAAGATGCATTTTTTGGTCCCATTCCATCCGGGGCAAAGGAGAATGAAGAAAATGAAAGACACATGGAAAATATTAGCTCAAAGGACTAATGGACCACATGAAGCACAGCCTCCACCAGCCCAAGCCCAGAAGAACTTGATGGTGTCTAGTTACCACCACCGACTGCTCTGACACGGATCACAATTGAGGGTCCCGGCCACAGCAGGAGAAAAATGTAGAACAAAATTCAAATTCACCAAAAAAAAAAAAAAAAAAAAAAACACAAAAAACCCAGACTTTATGGTCTGATAGAGACTGAAGGAACCCCTGAGACTATGGCCCCCTGGATACCCTGCTAACTCAGAAGGGAAGCCACTCTCGAAGTCTACCTTTCAGCCAGAGATTAGACAGCCTACAATACAAACAATAACACACGTGAAGAATGTGCTTCTTAGTTCAATCAAATATAGACCAAATGGGTAACACCTGCCCAAAAGCAAAGACAAGAAGGCAGGAAGGGACACGAAAATTGGACGAATGGATATGGGGAACCCCGGGTGGAAAGGGAAAGGGGGAGAGTGCTGAAATATTTTGGGGACTGCAACCAATGTCACAAAACAATTTGTGTATAAATTTTTGAATGAGAAACTAATTTGCATTGTAAACTTTCACCTAAAGCACAATAAAATTTTTTAAAAAATAGAGTGAATTAGCTCTCCGAGTGCATGAGCTCTATCTTATTTTCCTTTGCCCCCTCCCTAACTCTCTTCTTCCATCCCCTGAAACCCACTACACAGACACTCTCACAAATACACACCCCGTGCTTTGGTGCTTTGCATATTTTAGGGGATTGTTTAAAGCTGATGACTGAATGACCACACTATCTCATTAACTTGCATTCACCTTTTCCATCCAACCCATGTCCAGGTAGCTACAACCCACTCATCCCAGACACACCCTCTCTAGAAGCCCAGTTAAGAGCAGAAGATCAAAAAAAGCCTTAATCAAGGTTGGAAAGAGTAAGAGAAAATGAGCAGGGAACCAGTGAGCATCGTGGCATCTGGGATTGTCCTCTCAAATCCATCCATCCAGCTCCTACAACCTGCCAGGAACAGTCTAGGGACCCAGCAGTGAACCCAGTACAGCCGCGGCCCTTCCAGCATTAGCACCTAGAGGGTTCCTGGCTGCCTGACTGAGCTACCACAAACTAAATTTGATAGGACATTTGCCAATTTAAAACTATCCCAGGGGCTACCCTACATTTAAGCTCAAGTCTGATACTCAAGCCACAACCACTTGTGGGCCCCTACTCAGCCAGCAAGGAGTCCTGGTGGTGTACTGGTTAAGCACTTGGCTGTTAACTGAAAGGTTGGTGGTTCAAACCCACCAGCTGCTCCATGGAAGAAAGATGTGGCAATCTGCTTCCCTAACGATTACAGCCTTGGCAGCCTTAGAAACCCTATGGGGTAGTTCTACTGTCCTGCAGGGCCCTATAGAGTCACTATGAATCCAAATAAACTTGACAGCAATGGGTTTTTTGTTTTTCCTCACCCAGCTGCAGTTTGCCTCCATGCTCTTCCCCATGCATGCTGACTTTCTTCTCCTGAATGCCTCATCCCCACATACCTTTGTCTGATAGGTGACTCAGTTTGCTCCTGTGTTCCCTGCCCCTGAAGCCTTCACTAATCCACTCCAGGCAGAACTAGGCACTTTCTCTGTGACCCACCAAACTCTGTGTGCACACCTTCGGCACATGCCGCAGTGAATGCTCGTTTATAACATCAGTTTCAATCTATGCCTGCCATCTGCAACTAGACTGAATGCCTTTAGGGCAATGAGGATGTCTCTGTATCCCCAAGCCTGGCATGATGTTTGGTAAAAGGAAGCTCTGTACCAAATGTAAAGGATGTATATATGAGTCCATGAGTGTACTGTGTGTGACAAATTAGACCACTCGCTTCAGCAGGAAACCAAGAGACTGTGGGGATACCAGATAGTGGGAAGTGGTGCCCTCCTCACCCCTCCCCCTCTAGCTTTTCCTCTTCTTAGGAACTAGATTTACATTTTATCAGAAGCAGACCACTTCCCCTTCTTCTCCTGGCCTGCGCAGAAGGTGGGCAAAGGGCAAAAGGAGCATTGCCTGGTCAGGCGCCTGGGGAGAACTTGCTGGAAATCCCCGCCTGACGAGGGTAGGAGGTCCAGCTAGCAGGAGGAGAGGGCAAGCTTCAGGCGGCCGGGGGCCCCGGGGTGGGGGAGTCCAGTCGCTTTGGCAGGAAGCCAGCTCCACCCGGATATGGCGGATGGTGAACGGGATGCGGCGGAAAGTTCCTGCCCTGCAGGGGGCGCTGACTGGATGGGACACTTTCGCTGGAATCTTGCAAATCGCTAAAAACAAAAGTGCCAACAAAGGGAGAAGAGCGCAAGTTCATGCTCTGTTTGAGGAGGGGGACTGCGATATTTGGAAAAGGAACCCCTGAAGGGAGTGGGGATTAGAAAAGAAACCCTACTAGAAAACTTGATGGCTCCCATCTCATCCACTAATGCCCACCGCCGACTTCTGTCAGCTTCCGGTTCCTGGCTTAGCTGCCTCTCCACTCAGCGTTCAAGTGATGCAGAGGCAGCCTCTGGCTGCTGGGTTCTAGTCCCAGACCTGTCACTGTCTGCCCTTGTGCCCGTGGGCAAGTTGCCCTACGTGCCTTTGTTTCCTCATCTGTAGAATGGGGCCAGGGTTGGAAAGACGTCTGCAGAAGCCCTTTAAGCTCCGACATCGCTGTACAGCACGCCGCTCCACAGCCCCCGATCTTAACTCCACCCCCACCGATAGCTTGTCCCCCGACGCTGGCCGCTAGGGGTCACTGCCTCCCTTTGTCAGCGATTGAGGAGGGCGGCTCGCCCTGCGGCCCTCTCCCGGGCTGAAAGGAGACCGAAGGGGCATCTCACGAACGAGTGGGCCTGAGCGGGACCTCCACGGCCGTCACTCGGGATCCGAGTCACGCCTCCAGCCAGGAACGTGCGTGCGGCCGGGCGGAGGCCCGGCCCGGGCCGGGCGCTCCTCGGAGCCGGGAGGGGGTTAACGCTAACCCCTCCCCTCGGTCTGACATCACAGCGAGAGCGGGCCAGAGGCTGAGCTCGGCGAGCGAGAGAAAGAGAGGGAGCCGAGCGAGCGCAGCCGACTCAGCACCGGGAGCTCCACATTGTTGAAGATCGCCGGGCCCGGCCCAGCGAGCGGCGGTGGCCCCGGCGAGGACGCGCGGCGCCCCGGGCTCGCTCTCCTTCCGCGGCCGCGCCGAGCCGCACAGCCAGAGCTGCCAGGGCAGTTCTCTGCGCGCCCGCCGCCTGGGCCCCGAGCTCACCTCGCCGCCCGCCAGTCGCCCGGGCTCGTCCCGCCACCCCCGGAGGACGGCCGGCCATGGACGCCTGCAAGTTGGAGCCGAGCGGCAGCGTTTGAGCGCGCCGGGCAGCCGGGCGCGCCGGGGGTGGGTCCCTTCTCCCAGCCCGGCTCTGCGTGGAAGAAAAGGGCGGGGACCAGCGTGGGGCGGAGAGCAGAGGAGGGGACCGGGGCATGACTCGTGCAACTCGCGGCGGGCATCTGCCGAGCCTCTGAGCCGGCGGAGGCCCGGGCCCGATTGCAGCCGCGCGGAGCCCAGCCCAGCCCACCCGCCTCGGCCGACGGCTGCAGGCTGACCTGGATCTTCGAAGCGATTGCCGGCCGGCAGTGATCCACCCTCATCTTCCGGGCTGGTTTCTGGACAGCCAGGAGCGCTCTCCTCGCGGACCCTCTTGCTGGACCCCTGGACCCCGATGGCTCGGATGGGGCTTGCGGGCGCCGCTGGACGCTGGTGGGGACTCGCTCTCGGCTTGACCGCATTCTTCCTCCCAAGTAAGCATGTGTCGCTTCTACCTTGTCTTTTCCATCCAGTGCCTCCCCAGGGCTGGGAGGTGGATGGCGGGGACGTTTGGGTTATAGGGAGTGAAAAGAGCCAGAAAAGTTGGGTCACGGCTTAGGTAAGCGGGGGAGGGCAGCAAAGAAAAGGAGGTTGAGAAGCGAATAGCCTGCCCTGTAGGGAAACAGTCGGATGCACGTCTCTATGTAACAAGAAAGCACTTTCTCAGCTCAGTTTTTCACAAAAATAATAATATATAATAGCGTTCTATTTATTTAATAACTAGCTCTGAGCTCGAGAAGCAGTTTGGAAACACTGTATGTTACATAAACGCAAAATAATCACCGTAATCACCGTCTTGGGGTATGGAGACAACAGCCCCCAGGAGGAGGGCATCAGTCTCGGAGCTGGGGTGCTGTGAGTTTGAAGGATGGCAGGGGGCTGTGTGTCTCTCTGATCCCTTGGTCAGACGGTTTCGGGCGCTCGGGCGCCTCCGGCCCCACAGCGGGCGCGGCGAGTCCGCTCCTGCGGCAGAGGCGGCTTCTAGCTCACCTGCGGTTTCTTTCCTAGAGGGTGAGGCCAAGGCCGCGGGGATCGCACCCGGCCGGCCTCGCGCAGGGCTGGGCTCCGCCTCGGAACTCCGCTCGCAGTTTGGGGGGCTCTCCCCCGAGGTAACGCCGCGGGCTTCGTGCCAGCCAGGTGGTTGCATGACCCACTTTCCCGAGGGGCCCCATGTGTCCTTCCTCGAGGTGAGGGCTGCCGGCGGCGGAGGGGTTAACCCTGCGCCCGACCATTGGGTGGCCCCAAAAGGTGGCCGGCTGTGGCCCACTCTGACGGTTGGGGTGGGGGCGGAGGCTGGGACCGGCCCGGGCTCTTTGTGCTGGGGAATGAACTGGAAAATGCGTTTAGGAGGCAAATCCGACCGAGTCCCCTCGCCTGGATTTAACCCTTTGTGTCCCTGGGGAAGCTCTGCGGATCCCGCGGGATACCAGCGCGATACCAGCGCGGGGGGCGGGGGGAGGGCGCTTACTCCAGCCCCCTGGAAAGAAACCTGAGACGACCTCCCCCCTAGCAAGACGGGCTTTTTGGGAATGAGGTCTTGGCTGAAGCACGTTGTCCTCACCTTGGGGTGGCAGAATAGGGGAGTACAGAAACCAGCCCTGTGTGGAGCAAAAATATTAATATTAGATCGAAGGCGTCGCTGACAGCGATCAGGAGGGGCGCCTACGGTGTCGTAGACTCGTCGGGCAGTTTGTGAGGAGAGGCCAGCCTGGCTGCAAAGTTACTGCGGATAGGGAGGTGGGGATATGCACTCGTGGAAGGCAGGATCCTTGCCTCATTCACTTCGGTACCTCTTCTCCTGTCGCCTGTTCTCTGTTGAGAGCCCCGCTGATCTCACTGAATGGCGATGGCATGAAGTCAGTTTGTGGAAGCTGGCACTGGGATGCTCCGGCCACCAGCCCGTGAGGTGCTGCCCTGCTAGGTGTGTGTGTGGAGGGGCATTTCCTGAGAGTCTTAAAATTCCAGGACACACAGGTGGCTCTGACCACTTAGAAGGGGCAAAGCCGAGCGCCCTCCCCTGAAGCGTCCTGCACAGTGGTTAATTCTTTCTTTAGGGGGCTGGAGGCTGGCTCTGCTCCTTTCAGGAAGTGGGGGCGGGGAGGTGACATTCTTACCTGGCTCAGATATGGACACTCCCCCCACTGCAAATCCAGATGAGAGGGGAGGTGTGCAGAGAAGGGAACCACAGTTCAGACAGGCACTTAATAAGTCTTCTTCCATTGATTGTAAGTGATGGATGGATAGCATCAGCACTGCCAAAGTTTCTGGACTTGCCCAGCTCCTTTCCAACCAGTGCCTGTGGTCCTGGAGGCTTCTCTGCTTACTCTCCCTCGTCTGCTTGGAGGGGAGGCAGGTGGGTATGGCTGTGCCCAGCATGACACTTGGACAGAGGCCAGTAGGCCCTGAAGTTGCCAGCCCACACCCCACTTTTCACCTTCCTGCAGCCTTCTTCCCAATTGCTGTCTACTGCTTTTCTCTGGGGACCTGCCAGCCTGATCTTGTTCTTTTCTGGGTTCTCCCTGGGCTGTGGCCGAGAGATAGGGAGGTGAGGGGAGAGCCCCCAGTGTGCCTCAGGGCCCCGACTTTGAAATGCTCCCAGTCTGGCTGCTGAAATGTAAACACAGATATATGTTTTCAGCAACACAGACTTTCCCAGGCAGGATGGTGAAGCCCCATGAACCTGTTTGTTTCCTGAGATGGCAGTCTGCTGTTCCTTCCTGTTAACTCAAAGTAGAGGGCCAAGGAGGCATGGGGCTGCCTCCCAAGGAGGACCGGGAGGGAGCTCAATCGAGGAGGCCCAGAACCTTCCTGAGAAGCAGGTGTACTGAGCTGATGTCCCACCTACACCGCACCCTCCCTAATTGGCTTCCCCAAACCTATTGTCTGGAAAGAGAACACACACCCCAGGTGTCATGCACACCCTTGGAATTGGTTTCAAGACCTGTTGGGCTGCCACACACCCCTTCTCTGCAGCCTGCACAGAACTCCCTGCCACGTTGGTTTCCTTCGAAACTCAGTGTCAGGACTATGGGGTTATTTTCTTCTCTCCTCAGTTCTCACAACAGTGATGTGATCAGCCTTGCTAGGCCAGACATTACGGCAAAACCAATCCTGCTGGGTTTAGAGTACGTGCAAACAGGAATCTCAGTGCCTGTTAAGAGGCAGCACAGTGGAGAGTATCTCAGAATCAGACCCAAGGCCTAACAGCCAAGGCGAGAGGGGAGAAGGAGAGATTGCAGAGCTGAGGCCCAGCAGCCTGGCTGAATGGAGGTGGAGGGCCCTGGAAGGTGTCTCTGAGCCTGAACCACTGCACATGTGGGACATCTGGCCCCTTGGAGCCCAACACGGGCTAAGACCAGGACTGTGATATCAGTTTCCTTCCCAGCCACTCAGCTTTGCACAGTGACTCCACCTCATTGGCCACTGCTGACCCCTGGATCCAGTGTATGCTGCCAGGTCCCTAGAGCGAGGGCTGAGCAGGTGGGCCAGGCCGCTGGGGCAGAGGGTCGGCCCCAGTTGCTGTGCCTTGATACTGCCATTGTTTAGCAGCTGACTAATGTTCATTGTTCAGCACAAACAGAAAACACCCAAGGGAGGTGTGAATGTACCTTCAATTTTCCTGATTGTATCTTTCCTGGTTAACCTGGTAAATTGAAAGGCTCCTACTTGGGGGAGGGGCAGAAGGAGAGGGTGTCTTTATATTCACCTGTTTTGAGGATCTTTTTTTTTTTTTTTTTTTTTGACGTTGAATGTCCGCCAGTGTGCCGGGCTGGAATAGGCATTGGCCAGTGGTGGAACCTGGGCTACAAGTTTCTGACCCACTGCATCAAGGCTCACCTTCCGTGTGTTCATGTTGGTTAGCTATGATTCACGTGCACATGCAGACACATGGGGAACTGGGATAAGGTGTGTACACTAGTATCTGTGGGTCACCCTGGGACTGTGTCCATAAATAGATGTCAAATGTATGTTCACACGTAACTGATTTCTTATGGCTTTTCAGCTAGGATTTTGTGAGTGGTTCTGAGCCTTGCTAATGTCTGTGTTTATGTCAGAGTATCACTGAGGGTGACTTTGGGAGGAGACCTTGGAACTCCTCAGAGACCCAGGATTTGCCCTTGGCAGACTCCCTCCAAGATGTGCTGTGCCCAGTCCTTTGGGGATGGGAAGCCTAGATACTGCTTTCTTTTTCTGCTCTGCCCTTGGCTTTGGACTGGCCTTTGCATTGTCGTGGGGAGGTGCCCAAGACCTTGACAACACCTGGAGAGGCTATCTCTTCTTGTCAGCCTTCTGTTTCCCTGGCAAACAGCATTGCCGGAACTCAGTATTAGCTGGAGCCTGGCTTGCCCCACAAGTTCTCATGATCCCCGAATGGCTGGGAGGGACCGTGGGAGACAGGATTTTAGCTATGAATTTGGCATCTTTGCTTCCTGCATGGGTGCTTGGGGAAAAAAAGATCATCTTTTTTGATAAAAAGGGGGTAAAAGGTGGCATACTCTGGGCATAAATGTGGGCTTTGGTTTTCCATTAGCAACCCTGCAGAGCCATATGTGTGCCCAGGTCAGTGACCTATGTGTGCCTGGAAATGTCCAGGCTCATGCAGCAGAAAGTGGGAGCCAAGCCCCCTTGTTGGAAAGGCAGTTGGTAATGAGGGGCAGACAGTGGGGAAGAGGGTAGTTCTGGGAGCCCAGCACCCTGTGCCCAAGCCCAACTGGGAAGGATTTCTCCTCCATGATGCCTGCCCCTCTCCATAGAGACAAGGTCTGCAGAGCCAGCAGCAGATGTGCTAGCTGGGACAGGAGGTAACTTAAGATCTGAGTAGGGATCACCTTGCAGAGGGAATGCCCTGAGCTGGAGATAACACCTCCTAGTCCAGTTAACTCTTGAAGCCCTGGATTCCCTTGTGCTGTTTGGGGCTGGGAGATGGGAAGAGGGAAGAGACGGGATCAAATACATTGAACCTAAGATCAGAACTCTGACCTATCCCACAAGGAGAGGTGGATTCAATGTAACAGGAAAGACTTTCTCACAGCAGACTATAGGTTCTTCGGGGCAATGGAAAATCCAGGTTTACCCTGGGAGCAGGTAGGGTGGGCAATAGGTGTATATTCTTCGGGGTTCCTGGAATCTGCACCTTTCACAGTCTTCCAGGGAGGACAGAGCAGTAGTGGTCCCAAGCCGTAGAATTTCGGGACGGGTGAGGGGCCTGGCCTTATAATAGTGAGAAAGCAAAGTGGGATCAGGTGACTGGGTTTGACTCCCAGCTCCACCAGTTGCTAGCTAAGTGAATTTGGTTAAGTCACTTTGGAGGCCTCCATTTTCCCATCTGTAAAATGGGTTTCTGTTAATACAGATTTCAAAGGAGGTTTGTGAAAATTAGATTGAGAATAACATATGACAAGTGCTTAGCACATTGCCTGGCATATAATAAACG